AGGGTTTCTCAACTAGGGTTCCTCCAGAGGTTGCTTGGGGTCCCTTGGCCAATAAGCGACTTCTGCTTTTTAGATGAGTAATCACTGACACCAATTTAGCTTTCGGTAAGGGCGGAATTTTTTCCAATGACTCCTAACATGCTGTGGAGCAGGGTTTCTCAACTAGGGTTCCTTCAGAGATTGCTTGGGGTTCGTTGAGCATTAAACGACTTCTGATTTTCAGATGAGTAACCACTGACACCAATTTAGCTTTCTGTAAGGGCGGAATTCTTTCCAATGACCCCTAACATGCTGTGGAGCAGGGTTTCTCAACTAAGGTTCCTTCAGAGGTTGCTTGGAGTTCGTTGGGCATTAAATGACTTCTGCTTCTCAGATGAGTAACCACTGACACCAATGTAGCTTTCGGTAAGGGCGGAATTCTTTCCAATGATCCCTAACATGCTGTGGAGCAGGGTTTCTCAACTAGGGTTCCTTCAGAGGTTGCTTGGGGTTCGTTGGGCATTAAACGACTTCTGATTTTCAGATGAGTAACCACTGACACCAATGTAGCTTTCGGTAAGGGCGGAATTCTTTCCAATGACCCTTAACATGCTGTGGAGCAGGGTTTCTCAACTAGGGTTCCTTCAGAGGTTGCTTGGGGTTCGTTGGGCATTAGATGACTTCTGCTTCTCAGATGAGTAACCACTGACACTGATGAACTTGGTGGGGATTCTTCCCAATGCCAGAAAGTTATTTCAAGGGTTCCTCTATGTTAAAAAGATTGAGAAAGACTGATCTGAAAGAATCCTAGGGTTCCCCAGAACCCTGGTTGAGAAAAACCTTGGTCTATGTTAAAAAGGTTGAGAAAGACTGATCCGGAAGAATTCTAGGGTTCCCCAGAACCCTGGTTGAGAAAAACCTTGGTCTATGTTAAAAAGGTTGAGAAAGACTGATCCGGATGAATCCTAGGGTTCCCCAGAACCCAGGTTGAGAAAAAGCTTGGTCTATGATAAAAAGGTTGAGAAAGACTGATCCGGAAGAATTCTAGGGTTCCCCAGAACCCTGGTTGAGAAAAAGCTTGGTCTATGTTAAAAAGGTTGAGAAAGACTGATCCGGAAGAATTCTAGGGTTCCCCAGAACCCTGGTTGAGAAAAAGCTTGGTCTATGTTAAAAAGGTTGAGAAAGACTGATCCGGAAGAATCCTAGGGTTCCCCCAGAACCCTGGTTGAGAAAAACCTTGGTCTACTACCTGGGGGCAAGAAACCCTACAGGAACATCTGCCTCAGTTCTTAATCCACGGTGGAAAATGACAGTGTTAGGTTCCTACCGGTGGTAGCCTCTAGTGTTCCACAGACCGGAGTCCCCCAAGGCGCGGAATCTAAGTCCCAACCTGCTTGTTCACCAGGGCCCCTGATGGTGGGGATGGACTTGGAGCAGGCCGAGACCAGGTCGCGGCCCCTGGGTTCACCCAGCTGCGGTAGAAGCACCACTGGAGGTGTATAGCAGGTGAGAGTCTGATGTGAGGAGGTAACAAGAGCAGCGTCGGGCAGGCCGGGTCGGTAATGGTGGAGGCAGCGTAGTAAAAAATCAGTAGGCAGAAGGATAAACAGGTCACAAGCCGGGGTCGGTACCAGGAGATCAGAATGTGCAGGGTTAAACAGGAGAATGGTCAGACAAGCCAGGGATCAGGACAGGAGACAGACAGCAAATTAGGGTCAGGCAGGGTCGGCAACAAGACAATCTTCAATACAGGAACTCAGGACACAGGTAAGACCATACTGCAATGAGAGTCAGACCTGACCTGTTTTAAATAGGGCGCCCTGCGCCCTGATTGGTGCTGGGCTCGCGTCCACAAGTGCGCATGCGCGAGCGTCCCTGCAATCGCGGGTGCCCTGGTCCCAATGCTCGCACGCTAGTGCGGCCGGGCCCACCGTGCATGCGCAGACTCATGTGCGATCGCGGCCAACACTGGTGTCCCTGACAGACAGATGGAACATTACAGGTTGCTTTGGGCAACCAAAATCTGAGGCCTTGTTTGAAGAATGCAATGTTCTCAACTACCTTTTAAATGAATAAACATGAGAACCACTCTTCAATGCCCTACTTATTTATTGTTTTAATGGCAAGCAGTTAAAAAAAAAATAAAGACGTTAATTAGAAGCGAGTAGTCATCCATTATTTGTCTGAAGCCAGCTCTTCCCCCTCGTCTGTCGGTGGTCGCCTTCTCCTGAAGAATCCCAGCTACAAAATCAGAAAATTATATGTTAGGTTTAAGAGAATAAATCATTCTTTTCTTAAATGGTTGCTATGGGAACCTAATTGATGTGACGGCGGCCATTTTGCATCTCACCTTCCACATGACAAGTACAAACAAAGCCAAGATTAGCAGCCCCCCGAAGACTCCCAGGATTATCCACCACACAGGAATGTCGTTCTGGCGGTCCGGAGTCACCCACTGAACCACCGTTTCAGCCTGAGGGGGGGGGGAGAGCGAGATGAAAGACAAGGGAGAAGCATGTGAGAGTCTAGAAAAATCTCCCATTATACTAAACGCGGGTTGTCATGTGCGGTCAAAACAAGAGCGCCTGTCAGGAGGTTCTTTGAAGTTATTTGTGAAATTTCACGACCGATGACAAACGGCCCTATTTGTGGCTCAAACACGAAACTTGCTCTGACTTTACGAACCGCACTGAATTATTTATGGCGATAAGCTCAAAAACAGTTGTTCGGTTCTTTTTGTGTATTGCCTCAAATTTTCACTAAGTGCAGAATAATTGAATATCATTTTCTTCAATATAAAGTTCTGATTTCTCTTCTAATGCTCTGTAACCTCAAATACCATCTTTGCCCTCTGAATCATTGTCATTTGGGAATTTGTCTTCAGTTCAGAACCAGGGGCGGACTGACAACTCATGGGGCCCCGGGGCAATAGGGGATCATGGGGCCCCTGTGTCCTTGCCTAAACTTAAAAAAGCCTATGAAAAAGGTACCAGGGGCATCTCATGGGGTGCCCTACTGACCCTGGGCCCTCGGGCAGTGCCCGAGTTTCCAAATGGTCAGTCCGCCCCTGGCCAGAACCAATTTCACATAAATGTTTTTTTTTCTTTTCTTTTGGGGGGGGGGGTGCAATTTATAAAATGGTATTTTTTTTTCTGCTAAAACTGAGTACTGCTTTTATTTGAGGGAGGAGCTACAGTGTCGTGACGTCACGCCGCTGGCACCACGTGGGTCCCAGTGGCCATCTTGGATTCTGTCATCTGGTCGGTGAATGCTGTTTTTTTCCCTTTTACCTGCTTTTTGATGCTAGAATAAACGCACATCATTTAAAACAATATCACGCGATTGGCCGCCTCTTTCTGGGGCTCCCTGTGAGCTTCTAACCACCCACAGAGCTACATGAGAGGAGGGGCAGAGCCATTGCTGACAGCGGAGTGAGCAGTGAGGGACATCAGACCAGACCATACTCACCTTAAAGAGGACTCCAGTTTACCACTGAGAGTGTTATCTCTAAATCCGCATATTGATTGCGCATCTGGTGAGTGCGCAGTCTTTATACTTTTGGTCAAATCACCACCAGTGATTGGAAATCTCCATGATCTTCCATGCACTTATTTTGGACAATTTGCTGATTATCATTTCCAGCACTATATCGTATGCACTGTTGGTCACTATATAGTGACAGAGTTAGATGACACCACTGAGTCACTTTATTCATTTAATTTGCTAACACCTTGTCACTGGTCACTTTAACAGATTTTCTTATTGATATTTTTATATATATATATATATATATATATACATGTGGTTATGTTTACTGTAGCGCTGCACCCAATTTTATGTTACTGCATTTATTCAAGACTAAACTTTCCTGTATGTGATAGGACTCTAAAAGAAAAAGGGTAATACAATTAAAAAAACAAAGTATTCCTCAACCAGGGTTCTGTGGACCACTAGGGTTTCTCCCAAGTTTTTCTCCACATAACTGTCTCTGGAATAAGCAACCACTGATACCAATAGTCTTTTCATTTATCTGTAAGGGGGTCATTCTTCCAACCAACCACTAGGGCCTAGTTCATACTTGTGATCTGGAGGAGGACGGTAAAAACACAGCTCAACCACTCCCCCAGCTGCAAAGGCAGTGGGCAGGGGTGTACATATGCCATGACTGCTTTGCATCATGGCAAGGCAAAAATTATCCCCTGCAGTCAACTGAATTGGATCATCTACATCGTCTACAATGCATGCAGTTGCAGCGCGCTTGTGTTAGGGTTAAAACATACGTGGAGGAGGCAATAAAATGCCATCTGACCGCCTGTCAGCGCCCTCTGAAGAATGATCCAATGTGGATCGCTCTTCAGAGGGCTCCACATACACTATATTGCCAAAAGTATTGGTCGGCCTGCCTTTACACGCACATAAACTTTAATGGCCCCCCAGTCTTAGTCCGTAGGGTTCAATATTGAGTTGGCCCCGCCCTTTGCAGCTATAACAGCTTCAACTCTTCTGGGAAAGGCCGTCCACAAGGTTTAGGAGGGTGTCTATGGGAAGGTTTGACCATTCTTCCAGAAGTGCATTTGTGAGGTCAGGCTCTGATGTCGGGGGAGGAGGCCTGGCTCGCAGTCTCCACTCTAATTCATCCGAAAGGTGTTCTATGGGGTTTAGGTCAGGACTCTGTGCAGGCCAGTCAAGTTCCTCCACCCCAAACTGGCTCCTCCATGTCTTTATGGACCTTGCTTTGTGCACTGGTGCGCAGTCATGTTGGAACAGGAAGGGGCCATCCCCAAACTCACAAAGTCGGCAGCATGAAATTGTCCAAAATGTCTTGGTATGCTGACGCCTTAAGACTTCCCTTCATTGGAACTAGGGGGCCAAGACCAACCCCTGAAAAACAACCCCACACCATAATCCCCCCTCCACCAAACTTTACTCTTGGCACAATGCAGTCAGGCAAGTACCATTCTCCTGGCAAGCACCAAACCCAGACATGTCCATCGGATTGCCAGAGAGAGAAGCGCGATTGGTCACTCCAGAGAACACGTCTCCACTGCTCTAGAGTCCAGTGGCAGCGTTCTTTACACCACTGCATCCAACACTTTGCATTGCACTTGGTAATGTAAGGCTTGGATGCAGCTGCTCGGCCATGGAAACCCATTCCATGAAGCTCTCTACATACTGTTGTGCCAATCTGAAGGCCACACGAAGTTTGGAAGTCTTTAGACTGCAGACAGTTGGTGACTTCTGCGCACTGTGCGCTTCAGCATGCACTGACCCCGCTCTGTCATGTTACGTGGCCTACCACTTGGTGGCTGAGTTGCTGTTGTTCCCAGTTGCTTCCACTTTGTTATAATACCACTAACAGTTGAGCGTGGAATATTTAGTAGCCAGGAAATGTCACGGATGGACTTATTGCATAGGTGACAACTATCACAGTATAAATCTTGAATTCCATGAGCTCCTGAGAGCGACCCATTCTTTCACAAATGTTTGTAGAAGCAGTCTGCATGCCTAGGTGATGATTTTATACACCCGTGGCTATGGAGGTGATTGGAAAACCTGAATCCAATGATTTGGAGCAGCACAGTGGCTAAATGGTTAGCACATCCACCTGGCAGTGCCAAGGTCGTTGGTTTGAGTCCATGGCACCAGCTGCCTGGAGTTTGCATATTCTCCCTGTGCCTATGTGGATTTACTCCAGTTTCCTCCCACACTCCAAGGACATGTCAGTAGGTTAATTGGATCCTCTCTAAATTGGCCCTAGTATGTGTGTAAATGTAAGTTAGGGACTTTAGATTGTATGCCCCTTGAGGGTTAGGGACTGATGGGAATGTACAATATATATGAAGCACTGCATAAATTGACAGCGCTATAGAATAATTTGAAGGGTTGTCCCAATACTTTTTGGCAATATAGTGTATATTGTGAGCTGTAGATCTAATAATTATTATCTGGGGTCCCCTAGGACCCGAAGGTTACTTCAAGGATTCCTCCATGTTAAAAAGGCTGAGAAAAGCTGCAAAAGAATGTATATTATAGGTGATCCCCAGTGTCGGAATTTTCACACATTTTCCAAATGAGGCAGACGACAGATAAAGAAAATAGTAGACACCCAAATAAGGAACTTGAGCAGCTGGGGAGAGTGGAATGCTATCTAAAGGGAAAGTCGGGTCAGGAAGAGGAACAGATGTACAAGGAAGAAAAGGACAACTGTTTTATACAAGTGGACAGAATATACACAGGGCCAGACAGCTGCAGAAAGCAGAAGCCAGGAATACAAGCTCATTCTGTAAGATGCAAACAGCATACCAAGAGCAGTAACTGGTAGCAACTAATAATAATTCATTGTACTAGTCTGACTAGGTCATGCAGTACAAAATATTCCCTAGAAATCAAATTCCAGTTTACTGCAGGCACGGCAGCTAAAAGGGCTTACTGTGTCTTACTACCCGGCACATCATTGCCTCCCACAATATGGTTATCAAGTTGGAAATGGAGATAAGAAGCGCTGGATCCTGATGTAAATTCATTTTACAGTCAAGATATAGGCTGTATTGAAGTATACAAAGGCTTTGGCTGGCAGCTCATGAACATGTAGTGCAGACCCTTGACTGGTCCTGCTGTTTCGGTCCGAGTTCTATTCCTATTGGGTGCATAGCAGCCTCTCCACTCAATAACCAGACAGAAGTTTCTTTTTTTGGGGGGTTTATTGGTTGAACTGGGATGGGGAAGAGGGTGAGACTTGGCATACTCCAGAATTATTGCAACTTGAACTGAGGACACTTTCTAGTAGAACTAACTTCCTAAAATAAGACCATTAGTAGAAGAGGAAGTGGACATAAAGTTTCAGGGGCATCCCACACTAGAAATGGCCCTCAGCTAGCAAACTCTGGAACAGTCTCTTGCAAAAAAAGGGACTTTTACTTCAAACTGTTCCTGTAGCTTCAGCAAATGTCCCCCCAACTCTCCCGGAGCATTGAACCACTTGTAAAGCCTCACTGGATAGCCCAGGAAGGCAATAGCACAGTGGCTAAATGGTTAGCACATCCACCTGGCAGTACTAGGGTCATTGGTTTGAATCCCAACCATGGCATCACCTGCCTAGAGTTTGCATGTTCTCCTTGTACCTGTGTGGGTTTCCTCTGGATACTCTGGTTTCCTCCCACACTCCAAAGACATGCTGGTCAGTTAATTGGCTCCTGTCTAAATTGGCCCTAGTATGTTTATGTATGGATGTGAGTTAGGGACTGTAGATTGTACACAGCTTGAGGGTTAGGGACTGATATAAATGTATACTATATATGTAAAGTGCTGTATAAATTGACAGTGCTATATAAGTACCTGAAATAAATAAATAGCCAAAAAGCCCCTCCAGGCTGGAGGGTTTCTCCACCAGTCAAATGACCCTGCTTTTCTAGCTTGGAACCATCCTGATTCCAAACCCTGATCCCCCCTTCGTTCCCCAAAATGCATTTTAAAATGCAGGTTTAATAATGTAATAAACTTTCAGTGGTCTCTCAAGATTTAGTCTGGTCCACCTCTTTTTTTCCTGTACATTTTGGATTAATACTTACAGTATGTGCCAATGATAAAAGATGATGGGTAGATGATGACTGGTAAATTGCCTACTGCTTTCTTTTGTACCTTAGGGAGCCCAGTGACAACATATACTGATGTTCATAGCGCTACACACACCCACCAAAATTCCCAACTCCACCCTTCGGGAGCTTCTTATTCAGAAACCCCAGCAGGGAGACAGTCTGCACAGCTATAACACGGCAGCAGGTCATTCCATCCATCTGTGTCCATCCATAGCATGTTTCAGTATTTCTATGCTACCTTCCACTTAGTGCAACCTTCCTCAACCCTTTTACCATGATGGAACCCTTGAAATAATGTTCTGGTCTTAGGGACCCCTTGCTAGTAATTACTGTATCTACAGCTCACAGAACACTATCATGATGATCATTGGGAGCAACCCACGTGGAAGAAAAATATATTTTAAAATATTCTTCCCAAATACATTGACATATATTTGAAATACTACAATTTTGGCCATATTCAATATATTTAAAAATAAAATAAAATTATATATATATATATATATATATATACTGCATGTTGAAGTACATTTTTTATATATTACAAAATATATTAAAAATATTTTTTTAAAAATATATTTTTTTTAAATATATTCTTCAGATTTTTTTTTTTACATATAAAAAAGTTCCAGGCAGGCTGGAATTTTAAATGTCCACATTTTAGCATTTACATTGTGTGATGCTATTTCTATGTTACTTCTAATGTAATAGTCCATTGATATGCTTGCTTTACATAAACAGGTACTAGGAAACTTACACATGTTTCTGCAGCCAACAATATGACAGGTTGAATTCTATACGGAGAGTCAGTCATACGGAAGTAACCCCTGGAGCGCAGAATGAACGGCTTCTGGGGTCTCTGGTGGAAAAACAAAAGAGTCAGGAAAGGACATAACGAAATACTTTAAAAACGTAGCTTTTGACACATTTAAAGGGACACTAACTTTACAAGTACAGACTCCTACATCTACATTTACATTCTATGAGCTTTGAGAGCTGTTATCACAAGTCCAGTCAGTTGTAAATATTGCTTTTTTTACATTCAACCTGTTTGTAGTCTAAACTGTGGACCAGAACAACAAGGAAGGCATTTCCTCTTTAAACCAGTTTTATTCAATCTTCTTTACGCAATGCAGTACAGAAATAATAATTTATGCGGGGAGCCATAAATGATTATTTCTATACTGCACTGCATCTATGTAGTCACAAAGGAAACGGACCATAACTTGCTAGAAGAGAGGTTTAACTAAGTACAACCTATACCCCCTGTCCCATGTGATTCCAAAAAGCCATCTGTAGACAGCAGAACGCACATGTAGATGAATTTCTAATTCATCCTTGTTTTCATTCCTGAAACCTCACCTAAAGAACACTGTTATTAAAATATATATTAAAAAAATCCCACAAGCAACTGCATGCAAAAGTTATTATACTTACATCTCCGACGGTCCAAGTCACTTATCTTTGTTCACATAAAGCACTAGAACTACCATCAGAATTTTCAACATTCAATACTTTCATGCTTGTGCCCCCATCTACATGCTGTGAGTTCATCCTTCAGCCCCTACTTCACATCGGGCAAGGAACAAAGGCATCTGAAACTCCAGGACACTTTGGAGACAACAGTGTCGACCTTAAAGTCAGAATATGTTAAGATGGAGGAAGGTATGGTGATTTCTCTTTGTTTCTACATATAGTTCTGCAGTGTAATGGTGGTACTTTTCATCTCACCCAGCCTCCACTGCCCAGTCATTGACAGACCTCCTGTTGGTAAAGGGACCAGAGATTTACCAGTTAAGAATGTCATGTGATCTCTTTATTAAAAAACAAAGGGCAAGGGGTAAGACTTTTTATGGGAGACTGGAAGTTGGAAAACCAGAAAATAGTAATTGTTGTATCTTTTTTTCTACCTTCCAATGGACTATTGCCTGACCTTAAGGCCTGGAGGTGTCCTACGAAGCAAATGAAAAGCCATGATAGATACCAGCAGTTAACCAAATTTTGGACAGTATAGGTTACGCTAAAGGTCAACCAGCCAGTCAACAGTAAATAGCTACAGCATAGATCTATACTCAGACAAAAAAGTTAACAACCACCCCCCCAAAAAAAAAAAACAACAAAAAAAAACAAACCCCCCCACAAAAAAAAAAACCACATACACACACAAAAAAATGCAGACTCGATGGACCACTTGCCCTTTTTCTGCCGTCACGTTTCTATGTTTCTATCCTTCAGTCCACACCATGCCCACATCTGACCAAACTGTGCCTATTTCCTCCTGACATTTTCTGTCTAATGTAGAGGGTGCAAAAATATGTTATGGGAGTATTAAGTATGTTCTTACTTTCATGAAGCTGGACACCCATAGTATGGAGTCAAGTTTCACCACTGCGCTTTGTCCCTTAGCAATGCCGTGAATAAAGCATTCCATTTCCCAGCAGTTAGCATTGTCACAGTTCTGCAATGAATTATGTACAGTATATTAATACAATTTGATGAGTAGTGACACAGCCTACTTATTGTATAATTGTAGTACAATCAGGGGCAGACTGACCATTTGGAAACTGGGGCACTGCCCGAGGGTCCGGGGTCAGTAGGGGGCCCCATGAGATGCCCCTGATACCTTTTTCATAGGCTTTTTTGAGTTTGGGCAAGGACACAGGGGCCCCATGATCCCCTATTGCCCGGGGGCCCCATGAGTTGTCAGTTCGCCCCTGAGTACAATGCCTTATGGGGGCACATTTTTGGAGGGTACTTCACATTTAAAAAACACTGTATAAAATAACTAAGAAACAGCAGTGTCACATTAAAAAAAAAAAAAAAAATCTAGGAATAGCAACCTTCCTGTTCGCAGTTGACAGAGCCACACAATACTCCAAATACATGGTCTATTCCCAGTAGAGGCTTA